CTCTCGCTCCTCTTTAATAATTGAGCTGATTCTGTCCAGCTTGTTAGGGAGGTACACAGCCGTTTCACACTCCGTCTTTCTCCCATCTTCCTCGTCCTCTCGCGCTCCGTCTCCTCTTTCAACTTGTCCCTCCACTCTCTCATCATTTATCACCCCTTCTCTTCCCTGACCTCTCTCTGTTCCCTCCCTCCTTTCCCTCCATACCATCTCTCTCTCTCTCTCTCTCTCCTCCTCTCTTTCCTTGGTAAATCCCTCCTGTTCTCTGACCTCTCCCTCGCCTCTTGCAGCCTTGCCGCCCTCCATCCACTTCCATCCATCCATCCCGGCTGCCCTCTATCATCCCTCTCCCGCTGCCTCCCTCCATTCCTCCAGAGGTGAGAGGTCGCAGCTTCCTCTCTGCTGTCAGACTCAAACCGGCTGCAACCAGCTTCGCCTGTGGGGGGTGGAGGGGGGGGTGGTGGTAGAGGAGGTGAAGGAGACGAGGAGAATGAGGAACGTAGGTAAGAAAAAGAAAGGAAGTAGGATGGGAAGGGGCTGACAAAGAGGACGGATAGACGGGGGCAGAGAGGTTAAAAGAGTGAAGGAGGCGAGGGAGAAGAGAGGGGGAGACGTCTTCTTTTTGAGTCACTGCCTTTGGCGCCGAGGAGCCGTTTTATGAATGTATCGTGTGGGAGGTGACAGAATGGAGCATACAAACACTGCTTACACTAACACTAAATGGTTGCTGTGAGTGTGTGCGCGTGTGTGTAGATGTGTGTGTGTGTGTGTGTGTGTGTGTGTGTGTGTGGGAGATGAACCACGTTTACCTGCCTTCGGCGAAAGCCATTTCACTCCAGGTGACGTTTGGATTAACGGGAGCAAGAAAGACAGGTCTCTGAATCCTCAAGGGCAAATTAATGACTTATTGTTTTAGCCAGCAGTGGGAATACAGAAACCTGTCAAATATTCCAAATATATCCTGTTACAAAACATTAACAGAAGAGTTTGTTTTTTGTTTTTTTTACAGAAAAATACGTTGGCGAGCGTAATCGCCGCTGTATTCTTAGAGTCGTCCTCATGACAGCTCTATTCATAGATGGAAGAATCAAATCAAAATTCTGTTAAAAGGGAAATTTAGTTTTCCTGAAACGCGGAATGCCGTGTGAAAAAAAATCAGACGTATACCGACTCTAAAACATTACAGGTTTAAGACACACCTCGTCGGAAGCTTAAAATGCTTCTGACGTGAAGTGTTGTCGGGTCTGGTTTGGGTGTCCGACCTCGCCGGGATGAAATCGCTGCAGAGGATCTTGCAGAAGAGTTTGTGGCCAGATCATGCGCGACACTCACAGCCAACAGTAAAATCCTAAACTCATCGGTGTGTAAATTAAGGAGGGATTTTTAAGACTTCTAGTTACCGCCACTCAACATGGAACAGGTCTCAACGACTCGATTTGTTGCTTGGAAAGATGGCTCTCCTCTTCACCAGATAATATCGAGCACGAAATGTTAAATGGCATTTCAAAGGTTTCTGCCACACTGCCCCTACGGTTTGACATCAGTTCCCCTCCCTCACCTGTTGCTGGCCACCGGTGTGAAAGCTAAAGGAGCGCCACACATCAGTCTCATTAAGGCAGCGCTGTTTTAAGGCTACAGCTGGGAATCTATGAGCTGCATGTCTGTCAAGCAGCTGATTGGAGACGACACAGAAGCTGATTAATTCAGTGGCTAATATCGGCTTGTTACACTGTTACTCCAAAACAAGCAGAGGACCAGGATGAGACTCTGACTGTATGGTACCACATCCATATATTATTACCACTTTTAGAGAAAAATGTCAGAATGTCAGACAGAAATTGCATAAATGCAACAATTATTCCTACTGCTGCTAAAATATTGGTTATCACATGTACTATAGTACAATTGTTCAATTATCTTATTTGGATACTTTGACTTAAACTCAAATACAGAAGCTGCAACATTTTTGCAGTAATCTTCAAGTACGTGTTGCATAAGCCCTTTTGGTCGTTCTGCTCTGCATTGACAAGTTAGTATATTAAATTTGGCTTGTTTATTAGTTAAGATGTGTGCTAAGAAGCCAGATCTAGTGTCGATAACAGTAGATTTCACTGAACGTCTCCTTAGTGAGAGGGGATTTGTAGTTGGTTCCCTTGCAATAAGTGTACGCTTGTTTCACTCATCCATTCTCTATACCTGTTAGTCCTTGTGGGGTCATGGGGGCTGGTGCCTGTCCAGCGGTCATTAGGCGAGAGGCGGGGCCACGTCCTGGACAGGTCGCAAGGGTAATGCAGACACACACAGGAGACAAAAAAAAAAAAAAAAACATGCGCACACACTCGCATCTAAGTGTAGTTTGTGACTAGAAAAATCCAAGCAGACAAAAAAGAATAAGAACACTCTTAGTTCACCCAGTGGGCCGACACAAAGTCGTGCAAAGTAGCAACAGGTGAGGGTGGGGGGTGCAAACGGACAAAGAACACTCTGATCACATAGACACTTTCTGTGGTCTCTGCTCAAGACGACTAAGAACCGCAGGAACGATGTGACAAACCACATCTCTGAGATGTTAAAAAGGCGACTTCATAAAGTGTAGCTCAACAAAAAAGATATAGCACACAATGCGAAAGCGTGCTCAAAAACTAGGGATTGGCTTTTATTGTTTCATTTATTGTTATGGCAAAAAGTTTCTAATAATGATAAGAATTTGATTTATTTGATTTATTACTGGTAAGATCAATTGAAAACACCCGCCGCTGACAGTAATGCTAACTGTGTGTTAACACGGTTAACTGTTGGTTCCATGAGTTCATTGATAAAAATCAATAAGTTCACCACTATGATTTTTTTTTAAAGCTACTCTGTGCAGTTTAGTGATAAGAATCACACTTCATGCATCTGATGTTCTGAATAAGATGTTTTCAAAATGAGTATGTCTAAGGTCAGTGTTTCTTTGTGGGACTTTGAGGACTTTAGTTTGATGTTTGCAAATAAAAAAATGTGCAACCCTCTCCCCCTGCCCTCTCATACACACACCCACACACAAAAAGCTCAAAGCACTTCAATGCAAACCAAAATCCAAATTCAGGAGAAAAAAAGGGAAATGGTGTTTTTGAAAATTGACTTAAAACAAGTTTGATTCGATGAATTTCTTGGAAGCTGATGACTGCTGGAGATAGGCACCAGCCACAAGGATGGGTGACTCTTGTTGACGCTTTGCCAGAGAGGCCGAGATGCACAACCTCCCCATCCGGAGGCCATGCATTAATAAAGCGTAATGCGACCATTCAACAGGTTGCACGAGCCTTGACGTAGTTCCAAACTTTATCTAAATTCACTGCAGGAATTTCAGGGGAATCGCCATTCATGCCGTGCCAATCAGTGAGTGTTTCCATCCGTTCGGGACACATGCAAACATGTGTCCGTTCTGCCTTCTCCATCTCCAAATATCTGTATAAAGAGGGCGCCTGGCTATGGCAACCTCACACGCTGATAGGCAGAGAAAAAGAAGACAGGTGATTGGTTGAGCTGTCGGCTGTCATATCGGCAGGGTGTATCTTTGTGACACCGTTAGACGCGCACACACGCATAGCTCCACACACACACACACACACACGCACACACACTGATTTCCCTGTGCTGTCAACCTACACACCTACGAACTGCAGCAAAGTGCAAACAAAGGCTACTTCCCTGCGCGCGCGCACACACACACACACACACACACACACACACACACACACACACAGAGAGGTAGATTTGAGACGAGATGTGGTGTGTTAGGTGCGCTGACCCTGCCGATGAGGACAGGAGGAACATCAACGGAGCTACAAGGCCGTTGCTATGACAACTAGCCCCGCTGCACAGGTAGGAAGCACAATAGGTCTAAGCTGTTCACATTCACTCTGTTTGTCACACACACACGCACACACACACACACACAGAGAGAGAGAGAGAGAAGGTAACACACTCAAGACAAGTCTGACAGACAGCAGCTGAATGCCAAGGTAAGGCCATTTCCCTTTCATACCAACATTCACTGTGGGGAAATTATTCATTAACTGCTAATATAAGAGAACTAAGTCTTATATGACTCAGATCGTGAGACTGTGTGTGTGTGTGCGCGCGTGTGTGAGAGAGAAAGAAAGAGAGACAGAGAGAGAGAGAGAGAGAGAGAGAGAGACTCTGAGCATCACTCTGCATACTAACAGCACCTGCACCAGGGCAGCCTGTGAATGTCTCTGAGGGGCCCTTAAATAACCAACTGTCACTGCTCAGACACTGGCGTTGACTTCTTAGTTTTCCTGCACTCTTTCTCCTCCCTTTTGCTAAGAACCACAGGTAAGAGCTCAGAATCATGACTCTCCAAACTCACACTGGCTGGATCACCACTGCAGGATGAGCTGCTGCTGCTGCCGCCGCCGCTGCTGCTGCTGCTGCTGATGTGTCCTGTCCAACTAAGTGGGGTGGCAAAGAGACTGGCCTTACCCCCACCACCACCCCTACACCCCCGCCTCTCAGCTTTTATATGTAAAGCCAACATCTGGGTTTAAACATCCGGTGCGTGGCAGTCATGTGTGTCTGAAAAGTCCGGTCAAACTCAGGTGGAAATCCACGGAGCCCGTCACACAATTTATGACACAAAACCTCTTTGTTGCCGCTTGCAGTGTGTACATGCTGCCATAATGAGGCTAATAGGTGAGATTATTATAAATACAAAAGGACACACACACAAAAAAAAAAAACAGGTGGGGTTATGTAGGGTTCACTGCGCGCACATTTGCTGTGTGTATTTGAACATCATTATCGCCACATGCATGCATGCCTACAGTTGAGCCCAGATCAGCTGTAGGCATGCAGAGCGGCGGCAGGTAACAGCACCGACGTGGTTAAATAAAAGGAGGAAAAAAAAAAACTCAACGTGAAGCGCTGCCAGATGTGCGCGGCACAGCTGGATGAGTGGACGGTAAGCGTTTTCTGGTGTATCTGCATAAAACACTCACCCCCTGGTGTAAAGCAGAGCGCGGTGGAGCTTGTTTTGCGGGGTGTCAACGCGGGCTGCCAGGCTGGCTGGCTGGCTGGCGCAGGGCTCAGTCCCCCTTCTCGCCCGGTTCACCGGAGCCGTCAACAGCCGTCACCGAGCGGCGTGTCCCCGCTTCATCTAGAGTTCCTCCGCTGCGCCCCGGCCGGACCACCACCGTCCTCCCACTTAAACCTTTTAAAAGCCGCTCCTCCTCTGGCTCAATATCAGCGTCTGCACCCGCTAAATATGGGAAAGCAAAATAGACAAAAGGGGAGAAAATGAAGAAATAAGGAAAAAAAGAGGTTCTGTTATAATCTTGTTCCGAGTAGAGGTACTGACAAAGCCCCGTTAAAAGCCTGCGCTCCGGTTTCGGGGACAGACGCGGGACTCCCCCGGTATGCGGGAGCGCGAAAATCGACCGTGCGCCCGTGCGTCTCTGCCTCTGCAATTCCTGCTCTCTGTCTCCGGTGCGCCCCAGTCTCCGTGTGTGCCTCCCCAACGTGCCTGATTGTCAAAAACACGTGGGCACCCGTAGCTGGCTTTACTCTAACCCGCTGGAGTTGTAGGAAATGTAGTTTTTCAGCTGAAAGGAACCAATCTCAAAACAGAAAAAAGTGCACACGATAAATTGATATAATGTGGGGATTTTTGTTTGTTTTTAAACTTAAAAAATAAAAAATCAAGAATAATTTTGTCTTCCTAAATGGTTTTTGAAGCTGGGATGAGGATCTCACAAGGAGCTAAAAAAAAAACAAAAACAACAAAATGTAATGTAGAAATCAAATTAAATATCTCAGTGATGTATTTATTTTGAGGTATATTTATGTCTTAAAACTTCAATGTAATGATTGTAATCTTAAGTGACAAACTTAAAGGTTTTTGAAAATTGATAATAAAAAAAATGTGACATTTACTCTCATATCATTAAATCCAATGCAACAACCAAAAGAAGAAACCCATCTAAAGTATAAATATAAGGATAAATAGAGAGGTGAAAAAACAACAGTACAAAAAACAATAACAAGCTTTGAACACTAATTATTGTTTAACTCACCATCAAGATATGCAAGTAGTGAAGGTAGCAAACCCACATTCTTACCAAGATATGGTTAACCACCAAAAAATGACAGGCTGGGCAGGAAGAACATTATTCTGAGAATCAGCCGAGAGGCCAAAGGTGGGAGCTACAGAGACGCACAGCTCAGGTAGAAGAGAAACACTAAAGATATTTATTATATAAAAAATCTGAAAGACAGGACAGCTAGTTGTGTATTCCACAATCCTGGACAACAACAAAAAAAGATATTGTGGAACTAAAGTCATACTTGTATTGGATCTATTATCCTTAAAATCGTGATTTTTCTGAAAAATGTCAGTTTGACAGCTGAAATTTATTTTCTTTTTTATTATTATTCATTCAATTTAACTTTATAATCTTCTACCTTCAAATGAAATTCTCATGAAACAATCAGGTTCCCAAAGTCTGCGCGTTAAAAGTGCACAACCTTCAAAAGCAGTAACTATTTCTTTTAAGTTATTAGTTACATTTTAACTTTCATTTACCAAAAGAAGACATAACAACAGTGGTCATTTAAATAAATCCCCAAACACAAACAAATGAGAGAAAAAAAACCCATCACCTGGAAAAGATATCTGATCTTTATTACAATAAAATGAAGTTGCAACATGAAGGTTACATTCGTGGAAAAAAAAAAAAAAACATTAAAAAACATTTAAAACACTATTCCTTCACATTCCACTGCCAGAGATCTTTCCTCTTTATTTTCAACCCTCCAGCCTTAAAGGACAACAACTGTATACATAAATGTTTACTAGATATAGAAATGTTTGTGATGCACAGATATATTTCAGTTAAATTAGAACAATAGACGAGACAATTCATACATAAAGCACATTTCTTATTCCTTCCACTTTGAGCGCAGCATTGCAGGCACTTGTTCAAGGAGACAGACATAGCTCTAATATCAGACCTTTTATCTTTTTAAAATCAAATATCATAACTATAATGAAATCAGGTCTCTGCTCAGTTATTGCTGAAGATTGAATCTTTTTTAAATATCAGAGTGAATCTGTTAATAATCTGGTCAGACAAAGAACCGCGAGGTTCACTGACAGCTGTCGGAGCTTCCTTGAGATGTGCAACTTGTTGCAGGCGAGACTTTTTGCATCAGCATATTTTTCCACACAGAAATCAGTCAATCTGATGGCATTCTCCTCGCAAAATGAAATAAAAAAAAAGAAGAAAAAAAAAAAGAAATCAAAGGACCTGAAGAAATATGGCAGCTGAACAGATCATGCACCCACTGGACTCCCTCAACCCACCCCTCAACACAAGCATCTACATTTTCTTTCAGTTGCTTGTTGTCATGGTTACAGAGTAAAGCAACATTACTGCAAGGCCGGTTCAGGAGAGCTCCAACTCCTCGGCATGATTAACTGATCTGTTCTGAGCAGGATGCAGTGACGATCGGCAGCCAAAAACAAAGGAAATGTCAAAAAGTCGTTGATATGTTTCTTCATACGAGTTAAGTGTGGATCAAAAGCACTGAGGGCACAAATAAACGCTCGACTTCAACGTGCCCGTCATTGTATTTCTGCATGGTGGGTTAAAAGCTCCGCGTCTGTCTGACACGATTCCGGTCACAGGTTTTCTCCGGGCTGGTACTGCGGCTCTGTGGCGGTGAAGTAATCCTCCAGGAAGGACTGCAGGTACTCAAAGGTGGGTCTCTCGTCGGCCTCCCGCCTCCAGCACTGCAGCATCAGTTCGTGGAGCGAGGTCGGGCAGCCGTGGGCGCCTGGCATCCGGTAGCCCCTCTCTACCTGCTCCAGCACCTCGCGGTTGTTCATGCCTAAAGGGGAAAGAGGAGGAAGGATTAAAACTGAATTATGTTCAAAACAAAAAAGAAAAAAAAAACACAACAAAAATCAAATATATTACGCACACTTGAATTAAAATTCAATAACAAAAAATTTAATGGAACACTTAATATGATAAAAATAAAAATCCTGCCTTTTCAAAAGTGATTCTATCTTTTGAACTTTTGGCATTTTGTCTGGAATATACAGTATATTTTATTTGTATTTTTTGTGATGCACCAAAATAATGTACCCCTTACTGTGAGGGGGAAGGAAAATAATTCATGGTTTTTAAATTGTCTCTTTTTAAAAAAAGGTGTTATTGGCTCTAGTGGCCTTTATTTGATAGTGAATTGACAGGAAAGTAGGTAATGAGAGAACGGGGGAGACATGTGGCAAAAGTCAGCCACGTCGAGGATTAAGGCCTCCATTTGTGGGTTCTTAACCCCTGCGCCACCACAGCACCCCTAAACTGTCTTTCTAGCAAGAATGAAGGTTTGTTAGAGAACATTAGAACACAAACCGCATCATAAAGTACAGAGAACATAGCAGGAAGGTCCAGGAGAAAGATGTCGAGAAGCTTTTTGATGTTGCTAGAAAAAAAGGCAGGCAAATTTGAGCAGATCTTTTTTTTTTATTTATTTTTTTTTTTTTTATCTTTCTCTGTCATTTATTTTTGGTTTAAGTTAAGAGCAACTGTGAAGGGACCTGAGAACCACATGCAGCGTTGGAGCTGCATGTTGGAGAGCGCTGACCTAACCTGACAGACTTGGGAAAACAGAGCATTAATCAGAGAAGCAGCCAAGTAGCCTGTGGTAACTCTGTGGGAGCAGCAGGGAACCACAGCTCAGGTGTGAGGATCTATCATAAAGACAACTATAAATCATTACAATCCACAGGTTTCTCATTATGAAAGTGAAAGTGAAGAAAGCTGCTCTTGCAAGGAGGTCATTAAAAGTTCTGATTAAAGTCTGGCATAAGCCAGGTAGCAGAGGACACAGCAAATATATGCAAGGCGCTCCGGTAACACCGGGGTGCTTCAGGTGGGTTGGTACTGATATTTACTGCAACATCATCACAACTCCAAAGGCTCCAAAAGGTTTCGCTTCAGTCTTGGTACTATTGTCCTGGTCAACAAATGTCTCTGTTAAAAATAATAATAATAATAATAACTTTCTTTATATCATCTGAACAACAACAGCTGCATGTGTGCATTAATGTGCACACATGCAGAGTGCAAAGAGAGTGCTAGTGCTCGCTAGACTGAAAAAATAAAAGAAAATGAGGGGAAGATGCACAACATAAGATCCGTTGACAGGATGAAAAAAATAATAAATAAAAACTTGCAGAAGAAGAGGGAGATAAAACAAAATATGAACACGTCTTCACTAAGACAACTGGGAAATTATTCAACCTTGTTCCCACTTCTCACACAATTCTTCTTCATATTTTATCAGATCACCAAGTTGAGGTGTAAGGTATCAATAACATTTTGCTTGTGAAGGAATTGCATGAATTATCTCACTTATTAAAACATGTAAACTCGGGAAGCCTCAGGATCGGCATGCTAATTGGCACAGGAGGGTGGAAGATGCTCAAGAAACGGTTACCCCTCCTTTTACCGTAAGTTCTCATCTACTAAGCGAGGAAGTGCTTAGGCTATGAAGTCTCCAGCAGAGCGGCTCAGTGGCAAGGTTTGTTAGTGTGAAAACCCACCATGTCTCAGTAATCAGCTGTTTCACATGCAAAAACTAAACAGCTTCACTCTGAAATGATCTGAGTTTGGTCTGATCCAGTACCTGGGTAGGGAACACGTCCCTTAGTGATGAGTTCAGTCAGCAGGATACCAAAGCTCCAGACATCTGACTTGATGGTAAAGCGTCCATAGAGTGCAGCTTCTGGAGCCGTCCACTTGATGGGGAACTTTGCTCCTGAAACCATGGTAACACAGTCAAGATGTGTGCTCATGTACTTAGGATAGGTTAGGACTAAAAATAAAGACATAAAGACTAAACTAATAACTATATAAAAAGATGCAGATGAAGACTAGATTCTTTTTTTCTTACTTGCGCACACGTATTTTCAGTTCCAGCTCACTGTTTGCTTCCACTCATCATGTTCATGAATGTCATATTAAATTTAAATTAATAAATTTAATAAATTTATTAAATTTAATAAATTTAATAAATTTAAATTTAATATATATATATATATATATATATATATATATATATATATATATATATATATATATATATATATATATGGTGCCTGTGGTCATCGGGGCCCTCGGGGCAGTCACCCCCAAACTGGAGCAGTGGCTCAAACAGATCCCAGGAACGACATCAGACATCTCAGTCCAGAAATGTGCAGTTCTAGGCACAGCCAAGATACT